CCGCAATACCACATTATAGCACATATAGACAATTGTTTGACATTTTCATGTGTTTGTCCCATAAGTACACTCAGGAGTGCAATGTGACGGACGGGTTGTCAGAGTCTAGGCGTGAGTTCACACAACTAGTGGACTGGTGTCGGACCGACGCTAATATCGATTTGACGGACGACTTCTGTCTCACATTGAATACCACTGCCGTCAACGTTAGTGTATGTCAACTGACCATTGGATGCCGTATTAGTGACACTCTCTTCGCCACCACAACTACCGGTCCCACAGACCTTCCCGTCACTCCATTCACAAACAATCCAAGCTTTACCACGAACTCAAACCCCGGACCCAATGCCAGCCCCACAACCAGTGGTGACATAATTATTCGATCTAAAAATACCGGCGCTCGCAATACCTGTGCTCTGAGTTTGGCTCCCATTCTTGTAGTCATTATTTTGATTCATATCTAAAACTGATTTCTGTTATGATATCTAAGTTATGATAATTTCAATACAACTTATTTTTTACAATTTTGGTATTCATTCATATAAACGCTATTAAACCGAAAAATATTGAAGTATTGCTATAATAACGGTTTCTATACTGTATTGAAGTTTGAGAAAAAATGCAAACTTTTTTGAAGTTTGAGACAAAATGCAAACTTTTTTGAAGTTTGAGACAAAATGCAAACTTTTTTGAAGTTTGAGACAAAATGCAAACTTTTTTGAAGTTTGAGAAAAAATGCAAACTTTTTATTCAATTTATGGCCAATTCTTGAAATTGTGTCAATTCTTGCATTCCTTCACTGCATTCACAATATGTTGTCGTCATTGATGAGCGCACTATCCGTTTGACACAAACATGTGTGAAGTGTTGTGTTTTGGTTTGTCTTTGAAATGAGTTTTTGAAGAGTTTTTCGCCGAAAGTGTCACTAATTTTGGGATCAATTGAGTGAATGTCTCGACAGAAGCCAAACGTTTTGATCGCCGGAACGCCCGGAACCGGAAAGACATGTATTTGTAGGCAAGTTGTCAAACACTTACCACACCTGCAGGTCATCGATGTCTCGCACTTCGCCAAAAGCAACGATTGCATTGAATCACATGATAATGAGTTGGACACAGACATCATCGACGAGGATATGCTGGACAACAAGCTCTCGCCGGTCATCGCTGAAGGCGGTTATCTCATTGACTATCACTCACCCGATCTGTTCCCCAAAGAGCTCATTGATGGTAAGGTTTGAGTGATCACTTGGTTTGATCCAATGATCTAATGTATGATCCGTTCGTGTCTTACAGTGGTATTCATAATCCGATGCAATAATACTCTACTCTACGACCGACTGAAGGCCAGGGGTTATAACGAGGAGAAGATCACGACTAACATCGAGTGCGAGATCTTCGAGACCATCGCTGAAGAGGCCGTCGAGTGGTTCGGCGCCGATGTCTGCCATCAGTTGGTCAACGAGAAGGACGAAGACTTGGAGACCAATTGTCAGCGCATTTGCGATTGGATTAACAAATATGAGCCCAAATCATAGATTTATTTGTTACTCATTTTAACCGCTATTTTCTAATCAATCGCTTCCCTTATCTCTGAAATGCTTTTATTTTTAATCAAATATTTAATTTACAAATTGTAATACAATTTAATAGTTTTGTACTTCAATTCAATTGCAATCAAAACATACCATCCCTTTGATAACATACCATCCCTTTGATTAGATGGCATTTGTTTGAGGCGTTGTATTCACATTAAGCTTATGACAAGTTTTGTTATTTTTCAAAGTGTTTATTAAATGAGAAATATTTTTCATAGAGTTTACATCGAAATCATTATAAAAACTAGTATTGGATATGAATTGAGATTATATTAGANAACTTTTTTGAAGTTTGAGACAAAATGCAAACTTTTTTGAAGTTTGAGACAAAATGCAAACTTTTTTGAAGTTTGAGACAAAATGCAAACTTTTTTGAAGTTTGAGACAAAATGCAAACTTTTTTGAAGTTTGAGAAAAAATGCAAACTTTTTATTCAATTTATGGCCAATTCTTGAAATTGTGTCAATTCTTGCATTCCTTCACTGCATTCACAATATGTTGTCGTCATTGATGAGCGCACTATCCGTTTGACACAAACATGTGTGAAGTGTTGTGTTTTGGTTTGTCTTTGAAATGAGTTTTTGAAGAGTTTTTCGCCGAAAGTGTCACTAATTTTGGGATCAATTGAGTGAATGTCTCGACAGAAGCCAAACGTTTTGATCGCCGGAACGCCCGGAACCGGAAAGACATGTATTTGTAGGCAAGTTGTCAAACACTTACCACACCTGCAGGTCATCGATGTCTCGCACTTCGCCAAAAGCAACGATTGCATTGAATCACATGATAATGAGTTGGACACAGACATCATCGACGAGGATATGCTGGACAACAAGCTCTCGCCGGTCATCGCTGAAGGCGGTTATCTCATTGACTATCACTCACCCGATCTGTTCCCCAAAGAGCTCATTGATGGTAAGGTTTGAGTGATCACTTGGTTTGATCCAATGATCTAATGTATGATCCGTTCGTGTCTTACAGTGGTATTCATAATCCGATGCAATAATACTTTACTCTACGACCGACTGAAGGCCAGGGGTTATAACGAGGAGAAGATCACGACTAACATCGAGTGCGAGATCTTCGAGACCATCGCTGAAGAGGCCGTCGAGTGGTTCGGCGCCGATGTCTGCCATCAGTTGGTCAACGAGAAGGACGAAGACTTGGAGACCAATTGTCAGCGCATTTGCGATTGGATTAACAAATATGAGTCCAAATCATAGATTTATTTGTTACTCATTTTAACCGCTATTTTCTAATCAATCGCTTCCCTTATCTCTGAAATGCTTTTATTTTGAATCAAATATTTAATTTACAAATTGTAATACAATTTAATAGTTTTGTACTTCAATTCAATTGCAATCAAAACATACCATCCCTTTGATGAGATGGCATTTGTTTGAGGCGTTGTATTCACATTAAGCTTATGACAAGTTTTGTTATTTTTCAAAGTGTTTATTAAATGAGAAATATTTTTCATAAAGAGTTTACATCGAAATCATTATAAAAACTAGTATTGGATATGAATTGAGATTATATTAGAAGTATGGAATCAACTGCTGGTGTCTGTCCTTCAACTACTGGTGTCTGTCTGTCCTTATAAGTAGAGTCCCTCATGAGTGCCCTCTTTCTTACGGTAGAGAACATTCTCTTTGGATTTGCGGAAGTCTTCGGCCGTCACTTTCATACGTCTCATACGGAGCGCCATAAGCCCGGCCTCAGTGCACATGGCTTTGATGTCGGCGCCGCTCAGGTCGTCCTTCGCCATAATGAGCTCATCGAAGTTCACGTCATCCGAGAGTGTCATCCGTTTGGAGTGAATGTTGAAAATCCGACGCTTTGTCTGTTCGTCCGGAAGCGGGAACTCTATCTTCCGGTCTATACGTCCGGGCCGTATGAGCGCCGGGTCTAACGACTCGATCCGATTGGTGGCCATAATTACCTTCACATCAGACTTGCTGTCAAAGCCATCCAATTGGTTCAACAGCTCTAACATTGTTCGCTGGATCTCACGCTCACCGCCAGAATTCGAGTCGTATCTGATCCACACATTTGGACATCAATAGCATTAGTTTAGAGAGAAAATCAGACAAATGGTTCAGTGGGCGACCCCTACCCCTACCCCTACCCCTACCTCTTAGTGCCGATGGCGTCGATCTCATCGATGAAGACAATAGTGGGCGCGTGTTCTTCGGCCACGCGGAACAGCTGTCGCACGAGCTTTGGTCCGTCGCCTAAGTACTTCTGAATCAATTCAGAGCCGACAACTCGCAGGAAAGTAGCGGACGTCTGATTGGCCACCGCTTTGGCTAACAGTGTCTTCCCAGTGCCGGGCGGTCCGTACAAAATGATGCCTTTCGGGGGTTTTATACCCATCTCTTCGTAGTATTCCGGATGACTTAACGGCAACTCAACGCTCTCTTTGATCTCTTGGATCTGTTTGTCGAGACCGCCGACGTCTGCGTACGTCTCTTGCGGCGCTTTTTCCAGTTTCATCACATTCACCATCGGGTCCACGTCTTCGGCCATCACTCCCACGACGGCGTGTAAGCGGTGGTGGAGAAGCACTGATGAGTTAGGCTCCAACTGCTCCCTGTCCACGAACGACATGATCGCCACGTAATAGTCCGGTCCGTGCGCTGTCGACACAATGGCGTGACTCTCGTCTATGATCTCTTCCAGATTGCCGACAGTCATCGGAGTGCCTTCAGTTGATCCCAGAGTTGATCCCAGAGTTGATCCCAGAGTTGATCCCAGAGTTGGCCGAAAAGACAATTCAATTACTGAATCCGTGAATCCACTGACGAGTGAATGCCTACCTCTAAGAGCGTCCACTTTGTTCACCTCGTGGTCGACGTCCTCCTCCTTGTCCTGGCGTTTGGCGGCCTTCGCAGCGATGGCTGCGTTCGAGTTCTTCAGGAACTCCTCTTCCAT